AGTCTGAAATTATACCCATTGATAACTTTCCTCTACCATGTCTGTCCAGCCCCTGGTAGCTGCTGTTCTCTCTATTTCTGTGAATCTGACCTCTCTAGATTCCTCATATATGTGGAATCATATGTGATTTGCATTGTATAACTGGTTAATTTCATTTAATATAATGTCCTCAAGAATCAGCTACACTGTAGCATGTGATGGGATCGCCTTGCTTCTTGAGGACATGTATGAATCTAATTTTATGTATGTTTTCATCTGTCATGGAAATTTGGGCTACTTCCAGTTCTTGCTAGCACTGCTAATGAAACTGGATACACAAATAATATGAGACGTTGCTTGTAATTATTTTGGATAGACATTATAGATAATTGGAACTGCTGGTTTATATGGTAGTCTATTTCTGCTATGGTTTGTTGTTTCTGTGGTTGCTTAGTTTTATTTTTTTTTTTTTTGTTTTCTTTAGTCGTTTCATCACTTTATAATCATACCAACAGGGCACAAGTTTCTGGTTTCCCCAAATAGTTTCCAGCACTTGTGATTTTTCTGGAGGGTGTTTTTTCATTGAAAGTAGATACCTTCATGGATATGACATTGTTTAGCACGTGTTATCTGTTCCTTAAGAAACATTTACCTAGTCAGGAGGGGTGGTGCATGCCTGTAGTCCCAAAACTTGGGAAGATGAGGCAAGAGGATCACCTCAAGGTCAAGATGAGCAAAGGCTACATACTGAATTCAAAGCCAGTCTGAACTACATAACAAGACCCTGTCTCAAAAAAACAAAAACAGAAAAGAAACATTTACCTATTCTAAAGATGCAAATATACATTGCACGATATAGTTTTGGGTTTACATTTAAGTCTATAAACATCTATTTTTTGTGTGCTATACGAGGTACGAATCAAGGTTCTGTTGAATATCTAGTTGCTCTGGTCATCTATCCTACACAGAAATTTATTGGTACCTTAACATGTTTATTTTGTCACTGCTTTTAAGAAGCACCCCAGGTTCAGACTGTTAGGTTATGGAAAAGAACATGACCCTTAGCATTGAGAAAATAGCTACTTCTTTGAATTCCTATAGTATCCAACACAGTACATATGGGTCACACAGGCAATAGCATGGGAAGCTTTGAGGACTAGGAAAGTTGACCCACTTAACAAATGTTACACATAGTAAATATCTATTACTGGAGCAGGTAAAATTCTTGAGCTCACTTTCCTAAATGCCTCCGACATTACTAAGTACTTCTGAAGCTAATTTACTCAGTGTCGCATTATTTAGGTGAAATTCCTCAGAAAACATAAACCGAACAGTTTACTGTGAGGCCAGATTACCAACTAGGCAAAGGAGTGTGATCTTCAATCTAAAACTGATGTGCTGTTTCATGACAACATGACTTCAACTAGTTACTTTAACTGAAAATACAGAGATTATTTTAGATGAAGAAACAGATACTCAGAGAAGATAAGCAACTCATCTGAATGAAAAGTACATCATGTTTGTGGCTGCAGGTAATAGGAAACTTCACTCAATTGGTTTTAAACAATAAGGAAATGCATTCTCCCACTTACTAAAGCTGGAGACAAACCAGCTTGTAGATGCTCTAAAAAGATGGCCTCATTTAGCTTTCAAAGCGCACAAACGTAGGAATTATTCCAGAGGAAGAAGCCGAGGGTTAGAGAAGACAAACATTGAACCCAATGAAAGACTCATCCTGTTTTTGGTTGCACGAAATAGAAAACTTCATCCAAATAAGCAGTAATCAATACAGAAACACATTGTCCCACACAGAGCTACAGACAGGGCAGCCCTTGGCCGTGGCACAGCTGGATTTCAGGTCTGTGCACCTACCATGCCCTTGGCTCTTTCCTCTGTGTGCCCTACTTTGGAAATAAGACCTCATTAGACTCTCCCTAGCAGATTGCTTCTGATATCTCACTGCCAGGATTGACTCAGTCTTATACTGATCACTGGCACAGGGACCTGGATTACCACACTTGGTCTTGAGGTAGAAGGGCAGTGAGCAGTGAATCACCACAACCAGTATGCCATGCTGTGTGCCTGTACTGTACATAGCTAAGTTAGGAAGAATTAGAGGCATCAGACAGGATTAGGCTTCCAAGGGAGTCAGTTCAGACGATGAGAATACACTACAGTTATGGCCAGAGGCATATCTGCTAAAGGCGGGCCTCAAGATAAAGAAAGAATGAGCAGGCCTACATACCTCTGCAAGGGATAAATGGTGCCACCTGGTCCACAACAATCTAGACAGACATCAGTGGGTTACCGAGACCTCCTATCCATCCTTTCCTAAAAGCAAGTCTTTGTGCTTTCTGTGTACTCATGCCACATAACTTCCCCACTGGATCAACATCAGCTAAGTGCTCTGCTTGTGCTCTCCTGGATTGATTTGAGGCACGTTGCACCCACCTTGTGATTTTGCTCTATAAAACTTCCTTTGAGAATGGGGCTTGTGGCCCCTCCTGTCTCTCAGGAGCTATTGCTCTCAATTCTTTTTCCTACTCTCAACCTCCGTTATTTCTTAGAATTCATTTCTCAATTTTGGGGAACACGAATTCGGCGTATTTGACATCCAGCATGTTGGGAGTTATAGTATTTCCCCCATGTTGCCCAAACAATACCTGTGAATTCTGAAACATTCCTTCTCAGTTTTGGTCCTAAATACTGGTCCTCTTTCAGGACTTTTGTTTAGTATTTTCTGCCAGCAATACCTCTAAAAACTCCTTGGAATGAGAAATGGACTTACCAGTTCACATAACACATTATATCTAAAGAACAAACTCAGTCATAAACCAAGCACTGGAGCCTTAAAAGAAACTTTTGAAATCCCTGTCGGTCAGGCGACTGCCAGCAGGCAGGGAACAAAACTAAGTACCCAGGAGGAGCGCACTGCCAAGAAGAAGGCAGGGTAGCAGGGGCCACAACTATACAAATAACACAATTCAGGGGACATAAAAATTGTTAGCAGAGTTTACTGTATTTGGAGGATCTAAGAAGTCCAGAGGCTCACCAGTCTATACTACAACTCTTGGGGTGGGAGGATGACTGTTCTAAACTCCATGTAATATGTAAGTTTGGATTACTTCATAATATTTTGGTTTAATAAACTGTGGGAACTAGAATGGATCAGAATCAGACCATGATGTGAGCGCCAGCAGTGGAAGAAGGGAAAAGACAAAGGCAGGGGAAGTCATAATGTGATCTCTGTTCGGAGGCAGAAGTTAAACGGCTTTTAGATTGTGTGAGGCGCTGGGCACTGGCATCTTCCCAGGAGAATAGGAAGCCATTGTGGGAAGATATTGAGTCTTCTGTTCAACTAGAAGATGGATCGCTGGTCATTTTGGGGGCGGCGGGGAGAAATGGTCTGATTATTTACATCCTGATTTTGTGGGGTAGTTTATACTGGTTGCACATGTAATGGAATGCTGTGCAGATGATCAAAACATGGTAACACAGACGTACAGTTACATGTTTATGTCATGGAAAAGTGTTGATAACATATTGTTGGAGGGAAAAGTAAGTGATTAAGCAGCATAAAGTCTATGATCACATTCATGTACAAGGATTCACAAAGACCAATAGCAAGCATGTCTTATTCATTTGTTTGGGGATAAAATAAATATATACATCTTTCACTATACAAACAGCAAAAACTACAGTTTTCCTTCTGCACAGCTTAGCAGAAGACACAGTTTCCCATCTTGGATCTCGTGCTCCAGGATTCCTGAATGACTGTCCTCAATACCAGTTATGCTTCCAGTTTCTCTTCCCCGAAAATGTCAAGTTTCTTCTCACAGAAACAACTTTTAGGTTCAGTGGTTCTCCCCCTCCCCTGTTTGTCTATTCTCTATTTCACTTTACTCTTTCTTATTTCTTCATTCTGCCAGCCTTGTGTGTAGATTGCTAGAAGGTGTAAAATGAAGTTATTCTCGAAATGCCGAAAGTCTTGCATCAGTCATCTGAGTGAGTGGACTGCCATTGGTGAAAGACTTTGAGGGTTCAAATGCTCCACTGCTTTCTAAAATATGCCTTAAGTCAGGCATTGTGGTGCACGCCTATAATCCCAGCATTTGAGAGGCTGAAGCAGGAGGATTTTGGGGAGTGTGAGACCAGCCTGAGCTACAAAGTGACCTCAATGCCAGCCGAAATGCGTAGTGAGACCCTGTCTCAAAAAGACAAAAATACAGAAATAAAACAAAAAAATAAAGTGTGCCGTGACTTTCCGAGTTATGTGTCTCTGGTGGCAGACTTCCATTGTGTACACGCATACCACTAACTGGAGCCACAGATATCCTCTCATAGAGTAATGGTGCTGGAGTCTACTGCCCACAGGTTCTAAATCTTTCTCACTCTAATTGGAGAGAGAGGGCAATCCACTGCCCTATCCGGTTTTGGGGTGTGTGGGTGCCTGTGTGGGTGTGTGTGTGTGTGTGTAACCAGGGACTGAAACCAGGGCTTCAGACACGCTAGCCAAGCTCTTTACCACTGACCTCTATTCCTAGTTCTGCCTTCTTTGCTTGCAACATGATCGTTGTCTTCCCAAACTGCTGAAGGCCACTACTTTAATATCTCTGAATATCAAAGAGAACTTGGAACTTATCCTTCCCATAGGCAACTTACGTAAATTCTGTTGTAAATTTCATATTCTGCACACCATTATACACTCATAGAAATATGACTGCAGAGGGGCTGGGGATTTAGCTCAGCGGCATAAGTGCCTGCCTAGGAAGCAGGCAGTCGTGAGTTCGACCCCCGGTACTGAGAAAAAAGAAAAAGACAAAAAAAAAAAAAGAAATATGACTGGGGGGAAATTTTTATAAAATGCTGACAACAGTCCTATATAGAACAGTTTGAATGATTTTTATTTTTTACTTTCATATGTTGCTGAATTTTAGAATGATAAATGTGTAGTTTTTATAATAAGAATACTAAACAGCACTTGTTAATAATTTACTATGTGCAAACACTTTCATTTACAGGACTTTTATTAAACACACACTATTACCGTCTTCATTTTACTGATGAAAAACTGAGGCAGAAAGAAATAGAGACGTACGGCAAGGGAATGTCAGAAGAGGGAATGATAAAATCTGGGCAGCCCAGGTAAGGAAACTAGTAACTAGGTACATTGCACAGGGAATTTTTATATGTAATAAAGAGAATAAATAAATGATGTATATTAATATTAAAATTGTGTATTCTATATGGGCCTAACAGTGCATTGTGGGATATCGTCACATTCTCACTAATTAAAGTCTACAAAGTATGGAAGCATTATTGCAGTATATTCTCAGCATGACCAAATTCATGATCATTTAAAAGTCCTTCATTTTTCAAATTTGTTGTTTTCCTTAGCAGTGTTTAGTGTTTCCAGAAATTATACAATCATATTACTGTGAATTTACAAATACTTTCTTTGGCCTGGGACAAAGTAAAAACAATAAACAGGCCTTGCTAATCAATGGATCTACAAATAGCATTCTTTGAACAAAAGCAACAGCTATTCAGGCAATTGTTTAGAAACTATATTTTTGGGTAAGAAAATACTTTTGATACATAGTCAGTCATATTCTAAAGCAAATCTAGGTGCTAAGAAAGGTGAGATAGCAAGACTACATCACTAGATGTGCGTTAGAGCTGAGGTAGAGTCCAACCTTCTAACCTGGGTGATCAAGGAGGTGTTATGTTGACATCATAAAGCCAGAAGGGGCAACAGAAGAGCAGCAAATAGCAGAGGAAATGAAGTTGATTTTAGTCACTGAGTTACAAGGTATGTGAGATATTTCTAGGTGAGGACAGTTTACCACATGATTGGTAGAATATTGGAGACAGATCGGATCTGAGCTTTGCCAAATTATATAGTTAACATACTTATACCATAGACCTTTAATTAAAATATAATATATAATCTTTAACATAGTATATAATCTTTTTTTACAATTTTATTTAAGGAGTAAAAGAAAAAAAGCAAAAAAAGGGTACAGGTTATACAGAATTTCAGAAAAAAATAAACAGTAAGAAATCACTAGTTAATGGATTACATATTGTTATCTTAGAAATATTTGTTCAAGTTACAAAATTAAAGCATATAAAATGGACATTCAAACAGTGAGACTGCAAACAATTCTGTTCAATGATCCAACAAAACTCAGTAATATCATTGTGTATCTTATACACTTAAATATACATGCAGTTATATCGTTTAGAGCACTTTCTTTTCCTCTCTTTTGTACAATGACTATTACACATTTTGGGTTTCATTACTCCCACAGTTCTTATTACTTTTTTGGAAGAGAGTAAAACCGAATGTGACATAACAGAACAGAGTCAGTCAAATCAAAAGGGTGGACATAATAGATAATGTAAAATCATAATACAAGGTGATCAACAATGGTTACCATAATGCCCCCTGTAATCTCAAAATGAATTGCCTATATCATCAGTTATAATAAAATTGAACAAAACAGTAAAGAACGAAACCAACAAAACTAAAACATTGGAGACATTACAGGTCTTCAAAAGTAGATAATAGTCAACCAGAATGGGCGTCATAATGAATCCCACTATCTTCAAAGTTGTTGCCTAAACTTTCAAACCTGGTACTATCAAGCAAAACAGAATAGAGGGACATCAGTCAAAACAAGATGGTGAGAGCAATACAGGGCTTCAAATCAATTTAATAGAAAATCATAGTGAGTTACTATAATAAATCCTGCTATTTTTTCTTTATTTTTCCCTTAATTAAAAGGATAAAAATAAAAAAGTAAATAATAAAATGGAGATTGAGATAAAGGGGCATAACAAGAAAACAGTGCAGATCAAAACATAACCATTTAAGCAAAATAGTGTTTCACCACAAGATAATCCCGACATAAGAGTAGTTACCATATTGTCTCTTTCCTTGAAATCTTTGAGTATAACTTCGTATACTATAGCATCAAATATATCAAAATAATGTAAAACCATTCAAGAGAATGACAGTATTACAGGGTATTTGGAATCAACTAACAGAAAATGAACAATGGTTTCTGTTTAATCTCCTTGTCTATAAAAGTTTTGTTTATTCTATCACATATAATAAAATCCAACAAGATACAACATGTTAAGACCTATGGAGACAGACAAACAAAAGCTTGATTGGACTTCAAAACAAGATGATATTAAATCAGCATTGCGTATTAGGATGTCGTTTTCTCCAAAATAGCTGTTCTTATCATCCAATCTTCTCTGCCTCATTTCTGTTGAGATCTTTTTCTGTCACTAGTTGTCAGTTTGTCTTCTTCATTTTGTTTTCTGCTCCATTCATTGTGGCCCCTCTGTCACTATTTCTGGATTCTTGGTATTTTTCTTTTTAAGAATATCCTACAGTAACCTCTGTAGAGTTGAATTTGTGGTTGCATATTCCCCTAGTTCCTCTTTATCCTGGAAGCACCTTGTTTTTCCATCAATTTCCAGGGATAGTTGTGCAGGATATATCAATCTTGGCTGGAGGTTATTATTTTTCAAAGCTTGAATTATTTCCCCCACGCTCTTCGTGATTTGATGGTTTGTGCAGAGAAGTCTGCTGTAATTCTGATGGGTGTTCCCTTATAAGTGATCTGTTTCTTGTCTCTGACAGCTTTTAATAGTCTGCTGTTATATTGGGTTTCTGGTATTTTGATTATTCTGTACCTGTGTGTAGCTCTGTTTGGGTTGTAGGTGGCTGGGGTCCTGAAGGTTTCATATATCTGAGTATCTTTACCTTTTGCTAAATTAGGAAAATTCTCCTGGATTATTTCTGCGAGTAGCTTTTGTACTTCATTTGTTTGTGTCCCTAGCTCTTCTTTTATGTTCTTAATTCTTAAGCTATAGATCCTGTTATCATCTTCTAGCCTTTGTATTATTGCTGTTTGTTTCTTTGTTATTTTTAAGATGTTTTTCATTTCATGCTCCCATATTACAAATCTGCCCTCCAGTTCAGATCATCTATCCTTAGTTTCTTTCAAGCTGTTATGCCAGTTTTTGATAGAATTGTTAGTTTCCTGGTAATCTCTTTGAACCTGCTTCACATATTCTATGTTTTCTCTATTTTCTCCACCAAACAATTCTCCCCTTTTTTTGTGTTGCTCCATTCCACCATCTGTTTTTTCTTGGGCAGTACTTAGCATTTCTCTAACTATTCTGCTTATGTCTGGCTTCAGGTCATTAATAACTTCATTGCTGAACTCTTCTATGAGGCTCTGGAGATAGCGCTTTATGTCTATTGGTGCCGTGTCTGCTATTGCATGTTTCTCAGGATTGGGGACCTAGGAGCCTTTCTTGTTGCTCCCTCTTCTCATATTCTTTGTTCCTTGTATACAAGCGTATATAGGAGGCCGAGCTTCCTTCCCTGTCGGCCACAGTTTGTATGAATTGCGCCAGCTAGGTGTTCCCGCCCACCGCAACGCTCCAGGGAAATAGGGACCTGGCAGCCTATGACGGACCCGCCACCTAGGTCAACCTACCAAAGGCTTCACCACTAGGGTGCACCTCCAGTTGCTGGGACCTGGGTTGTGCTAGCCTTCTGGGTCTCAGCCAGCAGTGTCACGTAGGCTAGGCACTGCTCACCAATCCCGCTTGAGAGGGGGATATGTGACTGAACTCACTGCAGCGCCCTGTTTCGGCAAGTCTGCCCGGTCCCGGAATGTCCTCTGTTGGAGCCTCCTAGATCATGGAAGAGTGCCCGTTTCCCTCACTCACTGCAGTTCGATGCACGGCTCCCCACCTGTCCCGCTCTCAACTCTGTTCACCGATTCCCGTTCTCAGAGCTTTTGTGAGTCTCTCTCCCTGCCGAGCCGATTCAGACGCAGCGGAAACCCAAATCGTGGCTTCCAATGGTGCGGGCTCCAGCTTCCACTCTGAGGCTTTATGTGTTCCTGTTATAGCACCAGGATTGCATTCCCAGTTGGTTTCTCTCAGCCCTGTTAGTACTTGGGTCAGCAGGGTATATCTCCTCTTACTTAGGATTCCTCACTCCACACCTTTCCTGGATTCTAAGCTGCATCTCTCAGAGAGCCTCCTTAGCTGCTGCTGTCTGTCTGCCATGTTCTCCCAGAAGCCCCTATAATCTTTAATACATATTATACATAAATACGTCAAGTTGGAGAAGTTACACATTCTACTTGGGTCTTAGGCACGTCATACACAAAGTGACTCTGTGATAAACATCCCCTCACAGAGACATTCTAAAGAATGAGGCAACTGCTATAGAGTGATGAGAGACTGTCCAACGAGTGACACTAAGAGGGGATCACTAAACAGATGGGGATGGGTATTGTTAGATGGAGACAGCGAGCACCTCTCAACCAGAAGGAATTGACTTTTGTGCCGTAAGATTAATATAGCTTGCACTTAGTTGTGTATAGCCAAGCTTCCTGGGCATAATACCTCTCCTGGAAGAAGAGACTTCGCAGAGAATTAGTAACAGAGAGGAAGCAACATAAGTATATTAGCACTTGGTAGAAGCATATTCTTAAGGAATTATTACACAACAGAAGAATTATAATTTTTGTGATCATAAAATAAATTCACTGTCATATAGAATTCATTTTTGTAGGAATTTAAAAATTTTTTGTTAATTCTGTTTATCACAGTTTCACATCACTAGCCTATAAAATGCGGTCTGTTAGAGTAATACAATGAGCAGAAGGTAGGGAGCCGAAAGGCTCGAGGTTGAGTTTGGATCCATCATTTACTGGCTCCAAACCCTGTCTGCCATGCGTGGACAATGGCGGCTCTACTTATCTTTTTGGTAGTTTCGACTTGGAGCCCCCTTTTACTCTTCTGTTTTCCTTAACCTTCGAAATCCAAATGATCGCTTGGTTCTGACTGCCTCTTAATTCTGAATTCTTTATCCTCACTGTGTTTCCGTCTGCACTATTTCTAGTCTGACAGTTTTCCAGGTAACCCACTTTCCCCACGGTGCCTTCCTCTCTGGCTCCAGAATGCTCTTACAACTTGCTTTGCTTGGGATCTGGCAAGGTGGAAGGACTCGGCAAGGGTTATGAGGCCAGGCTCTCTGGGCATCTTGCCTTCTGCGTCTCACCAGCACCTTCCCTGCCAGCATCCCAGCAGTGATCAGGACAGACTGGACTGAGCCGTGGCTCTTGGGGCCGGCTGTGTTCCACATCCTGTTCCTGCTCCTCACTACTTCTCCTCCCAGAGACACAGACTACAGACCGTTCTCTTCTTGTGCCTCATTGCTTCAGTCTACTGCATTGAGCACATCAACGAAGTGGCTGCCGTGAACTTGAGGTTGTTTCCCAAATACCAGTATTTTGACTCAGTGAAATGATTGTCTCTTGGTGCCACTGTCGCTCAGTGCCATGCTCATCATGCAAGACTTTGGTGACTGACCTGGAGAACCTGCTAGACAAGAGATAAGAGAGAAGGAGAAAGGAAGTGTGACATGCAGCAGGGGCTCTGGATCCTGTACTGTTTCTTCCTTTACCATGGGGATTTCCAGCATGCTTGGCCCGGGTGCCCTCTGTCAGCTGGGTCTGCTGGAAAATGGTTTTTTGATTTGAAATCATTCAGATGAAAGGGTTTATATTTAGAAGGTTAAAAGTTGACAGTTTGGTAGATTACATATAATTCCCTACTCTTTTTAAGTATTTGGAAGTGAGCTGATAGGACTTTTTTGGTGAGGCTGTCGGAGTTTTAAATTCCTCATTTTTTTTTCCAGTTCCATGTTGATTTGTGTAACTTTTACAATGATCGGAAAAGTGGCTTAAAGAATGGCATCCCATGGGGAGTCAAATCGTAAGAGTGACATGACCCCGTTGACTTGTGTCCCTTGTATCTGAGGGTGTTTCTGATAGCACCTGTCCGAAGATCACCAGACGAGGCTGCTGGTCAGTACTGTGGCTCACAGGATCTTGCTCCATCACAAGGGCTTCGCAGAAAATGGAAATGAATTGGGCCTCATCATGCCTTAAATACACAAACCTGCACCACAAGAATGTTGAATGGGCATGGAGCTTACCAACCAGGTCAGTTTTCCTCTGGGGACAATGAGAAAAGATGTGAAAATGACAGGTCCCAGGCCTGGCATTGTTTGAGCCAGGGAGACTGTGATTTTAGACCAGCATTCCCACCATCTGTATGCTGTGTGATGGCCCAAACCTGTAACCATCCAGCTAAGTCTAGTTTTTCCTGCCATGGGAGTGGCAAGGAGTAATTAGTGTTGCCTCATCTGGGTGCTGACGGTGTGTGTGTGGTTGTGACCTGGGCTTCTGGGTCTTCCTCTGTGCGAGTGTGTGGATCAGCTTTTGGAACACCTCTTTTCTCTTTTGGAACAGCTGCGTTTGGTTTTCAAGAAAAATAAACTTTATTACATTTTAGTGAAGTTCCTATGCAGAGGCCAAAATTGCATATTAGCAACTGTCTTTGTATTTTGTCCACAGGGAAAATTCTGCAAGCCAAAGTTATCAACAAACAGTTACATGATTGTGGCAGTAACACTGCCAATTTAAAGAGCTCACAGGATGTGGGCTGAGGTGTGGCTCAGCAGTAGAGTACTTACCTAGCACACACAGGACTCTGGGTCCCCTCTCCAGCACCAATGTGCAAAACAGAGTTTGTGAGGCGTGACCGGCCCTGCATTCATGCATCGTGTAATGAAAGGTTCATAGATGATCTCCCACTGATCTACGTAAATTAGCAAGAAAAATTTTAACATGCATTGATATTTTGCATATTCCACATCTGTGACATCCTGTGTATTACTGTTCAATAAAATGTATCTTTGGTAACATAAAAAATTACCGCTCTTATTTTGTAAACAATTGACACACAGAGAGATGTTAAAAATGCAAACTCTTTAGCCTGGTGTAGAGGCCTTTTATTCCACCTCTGTTTTCCAGGCTCAGTCCCATGACTTCTCATTACATATCTGATGCCTGCTCAGTGGAATTATTTTTGCCATTCTCTCATACCTTGATCTTCTGTACTTCTGCATCTTTGCATAAGATGTTTTCTCTGCCTGGAAATCTTTTCTTCCTCCTCTTAAGTAGCAAAATTATTTATATTCTTTGAGAACCAACTCACTGCTCTTAAGAAGCACCTGCCATTCTTCCTGTCATAGTTGGGGCTTCCTCTCTGATCTTCTCTTTATCTTACAAATTTTCATTGAACAGTGAGTTTCTCAAATTTATTCCTTTCATATCCCTGGAACCTCGTCAAGGATACAGTAAGTAGTAGAAGTTATTCCATTTTAAAGTGCTTTCTAGAAAAGTTAGCTTGGGAGAATCTCTATACTTTTTAACTTGTTTTCCTCATCTATAAAATCAGAATAATAATACCTCCTCATAAAACTACTTGTAAATCAGACTCAACAATTTTCATAAAAGTACTTCATAGGCCACACATCTCTGTAATATTAACTTCTCGTCGTAAAGTGATCTATTTCCAATAATCCATTCATTATGTATCAGTCTAATGCCCAGAAAATAATAGACCCTTAATAACTTTGGCTGAATTTCATTGAGTCTGAACATGCTCAGCATTAATCAGGCTGATCATTGTGATGAAGGCAAAGAGTCAGGAACAGCTGAAAGAATGAGACATCAAAATGGCCCTTTATTTGTCCCCTCCCTGGAAAATTCTCTTTTCCCTGATGGCAGCCTTCCTCTGCTCAGTAACAAGAAGCTGCACTAGGGGGCTCCCCTGTTATATTCCAAATGATGTCTATAAAATATCCTGCACCAATCCCAAAGCTTCTTAGTGCCCAAGAGTTTTTCTCTGTTGAAAAATCTTTTACTTTAATGTAATCCAAGTAGATATTAATAAAGAAAATATTTTAAAAGTCTTCGTATGTCTTATAAAATAAAAATTTCATAGAAAAACAATTGGAAAATAACAGTGGTGAATATACCGTGCATCGTGATTTAGGCACACAAGTTTTTTTTAAAATTAAGATCAAAGAGGACATAACAAAACAAGTCAGAACAGAACAATTTAAGCAACATAGTGTTTCACCACAAGACAATCCGACATAACAGTAGCTACCATAGTGTGTCTTTCCTTGAAATATTTGAGTATACCTTCATATAGTATAGTATTAAACATAAAAAGACAGTGTAAAAACATTCAAGAGAATGAAAGTACTTACAAGGTATTCACAACCAATGAACAGAAAATGAACAAAGGTTACTATATTATCTCCTTGTCTATAAAATATTTTGTTTATATTATCACATATAATAAAATCCAGTAAGATACAACATGATAAAACCAATGGAGACAGAAGAACAAAAGCTTGGTGGGACTTCAAAACAAGCTGATATTAAATCATCACTAATTATTATTAACACCTTGTTTTCTTCAAGATAGCTGTTCATACCATCACAGACAATAAAATCAAACCATGCAGAATAAAACCATTCCAATTAGTGAATGAAAACATTATAAGGCTTCAAAGCAGTATAATGGGGAATCATGATTACCACATACTTTTATGTATTTGTATCATTTCTTACACTACAGAAACTATTCGGTATTTATATGTGTGAGTTTGATTTATTTCACTTATGAGTATGGTCTCAAGCTGCACCCATTTATTTATAAATATCTCAGTGTGATCCTTTTTATAGCTGAGTCGTACTCCATTGTAGAAAAATACCACAACTTTTTATCCATTCCTCAGTTGATGGACACCTTTAGCTTGTTTCCAACATCTGGCTATTACAAATTGTGCTGCTATAAATGTGGGTGCACATATATCATTGTGGTATGATGGTTTCAATTCTTCTGTGAATATGCCTAGAAGTGAAATAGCTAGAACAATGGGACCTCCAATCCCAGGTTTTTGAGGAATCTCCACTGACCCCACAATGGTTGCACCAGTCTACACTCCCACCAACAGTGCAGGAGAGTTCCTTTTTCCCCACAGCCTCTCCAGCATTTGTTGTTGGTGGTTTCTTGATCCTGGCCATTCTTTCAGGAGTGAGATGGAATCTCAGTGGTTTTAATTTGAATTTCTCTAATGAGTAACGATGATGAACATTTTTTCATGTATTTATTTGCCATTTGTATTTCTTCATCTGAGAAGTGCATATTCATCTTAGATGTCCATTTTTGGATTGGATCTTTGAATTTTGGGCGTCTGATTATTTTTAATTCTTTATATGCTTTAGACAGAAGTCCTTTGTCTGAGGGATAGTTCACTAAGATATTTTTCCTAGTTTATGGGTTTTCTTTTCACTATGCTGGAGATTTCTTTTGACATGCAGCAACTTTTTAATAAGAGGTGATCCCAGTTATTGATTCTGGGAAGTATTTCCCGTGTGGTTTCAATCCTGTTCATGAATTCTCTACCTACCTCTATGTCTTCAAGATTTTTACCCAATTTGTCTTCCAATAGATTTAATGTTTCTGTTTTAATACTCAAATCTTTGATCCATTTAGATTTTAATTTAGCACATGGTGATAGGCATGGGTCTAGTTTTAGTTTTTAGCATATGCAGAGCCTGTTTTTCCAAAACACAATTTATTAAAGAGACTGTCATTCTTCCAGTGAACATGTTTGGCCCCTTTATCAAAGATAAGGTGGTTGGCAGACCAAGGGGCTCTATCTTCCCCACCCCTAGGAATTTACCTTTTGCACAAAATGAATACCAATGGGCTACCTGTGCATCACTAATACCCCTTAGGCACCACCTCAAACCTAAGCTACATGTATGCCCCCACACCCAGCACCCGGAGACAATGCCAGACCCCAGAGGGTCAGTGGGTTTCTCCCCAAATTCTTAAAATAAAGGTCATTTATATTTCATACTTTTTATCTTTTCAGCCGTGGCAAAATTCTATCAATAATGATGATGGTAGTAGTTACAGGACTACAAACATTTTCAGAATTCACCAAATTACAATTGATGTACACACACGTGCACACACATAACATTAAATGTGGTTAAAGAACATCATTCCAAAACCTCTTTTAAGGGGGAAGAAGTTGAGATTAGAGTTTAGTAATTACACAAATAGCAGGATTTAGAAGTCCGTAGGGCATTAAATCAGCCCTTAATCTAGGATGTTCTACATTGTAATATTGTTAATAGGCAATTCTTTTTGAGATAGCGGGAGGCATTATGGTAACCATTGTTGATCACCTTGTATTATGATTTTACATTATCTATTATGTCCACCCTTTTGATTTGACTGACTCTGTTCTGTTATGTCACATTTGGTTTTACTCTCTTCCAAAAAAGTAATAAGAACTGTGGGAGTAATAAAACCCAAAATGTGTAATAGTCATTGTACAAAAGAGAGGAAAAGAAAGTGCTCTAAACGATATAACTCCATGTATATTTAAGTGTATAGGATAGACAATGATATTACTGAGTTTTGTTGGATCATTCAACAGAATTGTTTGCAGTCTCACTGTTTGAATGTCCATTTTATATGCTTTAATTTTGTAACTTGAACAAATATTTCTAAGACGACAATCTGTAATCCATTAACTAGTGATTTCTTATTGTTTACTTGTTTTCTGAAATTCTGTATAACATGTACCCTTTTTCTGCTTTTTTTCTTTTTCTCCTTAAATAAAATTTTAAAAAAAGATTATATACTATGTTAAAGATTATATATTATATTTTAATTAAAGGTCTATGGTATAAGTATGTTAACTATATAATTTGGCAAAGCTCAGATCCGATCTGTCTCCAATATTCTACCAATCATCTGGTAAACTGTCCTCACCTAGAAATATCTCACATACCTTGTAACTCAGTGACTAAAATCAACTTCATTTCCTCTGCTATTTGCTGCTCTTCTGTTGCCCCTTCTGGGTTTATGATGTCAACATACACCTCCTTGATCACCCAGGTTAGAAGGTTGGACTCTACCTCAGCTCTAACGCACAGCTAGTGACCTAATCTTGCTATCTCCCCTTTCTAAGCACCTAGATTTCCTTTAGAATATGACTGACTATGTAGTCAAAAGTATTTTCTTACCCAAAAAATAGTTTCTAAACAATTGCCTGAATAGCTGTTGCTTTTGTTCAAAGAATGCTATTTGTAGATCCATTGATTAGCAAGGCCTGTTTATTGTTTTTACTTTGTCCCAGGCCAAAGAAAGTATTTCTAAATTCACAGTAATATGGTTGTATAATTTCTGGAAACACTAAACAATGCTAAGGAAAACAACAAATTTGAAAAATGAAGGACTTTTAAATGATCATGAATTTGGTCATGCGTGAGAATATACTGCAATAATGCTTCCATACTTTGTAGACTTTTATTAGTGAGAATGTGACGATATCCCACAATGCACTGTTAGGCCCATATAGAATACACAATTTTAATATTAATATACATCATTTATTTATTCTCTTTATTACATATAAAAATTCCCTGTGCAATGTACCTAGTTACTAGTTTCCTTACCTGGGCTGCCCAGATTTTATCATCCCCTCTTCTGTCATTCCCTTGCCGTATGTCTCTATTTCTTTCTGCCTCAGTTTTTCATCAGTAAAATGAGGACGGTAATAGTGTGTGTTTAATAAAAGTCCTGTAAATGAAAGTGTTTACACATAGTAAATTATTAATAAGTGCTGTTTAGTATTCTTCTTATTATAAAAACTATACATTTATCATTCTAAAATTCAGCAACATATGAAAGTAGAAAATAAAAATCATTCAAACTGTTCTATGACTGTTGTCAGCATTTTATAAAAATTTCCCCCAGTCATATTTCTTTTTCTTTTTCTTTTTTTTTTTTTTTTTTTTTTTGTCTTTTTCTTTTTTCTCAGTACCGGGGGT